AAGACTGGCCCTGCAACTCACCAACAAATGTGTGCCCGGAAGATTTTCAGTAGATTTCAGTAGACTGATCGCGTATATGTATATATATATGTATATATTCATGTATAATAGGTGCAATGTACTTATATGTATATATATAATGTACATGCTTGTACCTCATTATGCCCATTGTCAGTTTTCATCACGAAGTGGAGTGAAACCGTCAGCTGAAAAGATTGCTCTCTGATAGCAGCTACCTGTCTGATCGCTGGACTCAGGTCCCTTTTCAACAAAAGGGTCCCATTGCCCATCGCTTGCTACACCGGAAATCGTATATACATATATACAAAGTATCATGGTAGTTTGAACTGGCCATATTAAATGTTGCGCTATGCTTGATGGTACCGAGGTGAGCTCACAGCCGTACACCATACACAGCCTGCAAGACATCTCCCGACTCCGACAGAGGCGGCCCAAAGACGCCATCGCCCTGTAGCAACCAATCATCTTCTCAAAGCGCACGGGATCTTTCTCTATACCTATGGCAGACGCAAGAAGGATCAACAGAGAACCTGAAGGTATCAAGCCTTGGGCCGTTGGGCCCTTGACGACTTCACCCGAGGCCATCGTGAACTTGGATTCCATGTCCACTCTCCCGGCTGATCTTTGGATTCGATCAAATAATCTGGTATCATCACCCTGTGCAGCTTTGTTGTTTCATAATGTTGCATGTGTTCTTCAAGCTGGTGTTGAACAATTGGCCAAGAATCCCGCCAGGGGACGGGCAGCTGCAGAACGCAACTTTTTACTGAAGGTTCGAGCACTCACGATTTCCTTTCCTCACCAGCGGATTATATTGTACAGTCAATGTCAAAACAGAATGACAAATCAAGAATGAGATCTGCATCGTGCCCAGAGATGTACACATTCACAAAATCATGGTGAATGGTGAGCTCATGGTCTTGGGGAGGAGAAACTCTGCAAATGCGTTGCGGACCAAGATCCATGGCAATCTATCACTATGTGTATATATAAATATATATATATAAAACCCTGCAAAACGATGCCTACAGTGTCCATGTGCCAAACGCTGGAAAACGATACGGGACGTTTCTTTGAAATAATACGCGGTATCCCATATCGTTGTCCAAGGCAAACTCAATCCACTGTCTTGGCTGAAACACCCTTGTATAAAGAATGTTGAAAACGACGCATAATGTGTGTATATATATATATATATGTATACATAGATGAATCCATAAAGGATATCAGTAGAATCTGTCAAAGGGCACGGGTTTGCACCGGCTCCACATCCAGTTCTCCTTTCTTCCCCCACACCAGCCTAGCAAAAATGCGTCTAGCGCTTCCTCATGGTCGTAGGCCTGCACTCAAAAGCATAGCTGGCGTAGCTCAAACACCCTTTGAAGATTGTTTTACTACATCAGCATAGGACCCAGAGATCACAACCACAGAATTCATGACTCCATAGACCAAAAACGGAGCCAGCTGAGCCTTGACCCCACCTCCTTTTCAAGCTCTATCTGAAGCCCTTGACCGCACATGTTAGACCTGTCACCCAACACTGTTGCAAGTTGTCCCATGTTGTCTTGTTATGGCTCTCTGAGAGTTTGTGTGCCACGACGTGTTCGGTAGGAACTGATTTCAGGAGTTAGAAAGAGTTAACTTCAGAGGTCATTTTTTTCCATCAATCCTTGGTCCAACACAGGGTGCTAAAAAGAATTACATCAAGAGTTAGTTACTGTAATTCCGTTCAATCTTGTTGGCTCACATGCGTAATCAGGAGTTGACTCTTTTTGACTCTGGAAAGTACTCCTTTTCTGTTCCTCATCAGGCAAACGTGTGCTCTCAATGGACTATGAGTGATTCCAACTTGCCTGAGGCGGGGAAAGGAACTGCTTGGAGTCTTGGAGCCCAAATATTGGAGCAAGATGGGTACTTGTTCCTAGTAGCTTCTTGTTACTACTAGTAAGGCACTTGTTACTACTAGCGAAGCACTTGTTCCTAGTAGCTTCTTTCCCTGTCTTACTGCATGTCCACACCCTTTTTGAGGTCTAGATCCTTGTATGGTCACAGATCACGCTTGGCTTCCCTCCCGGCCCGCGTGTGGATTTCCCACCCCGAGGGAGGCACAAACCTAAAAATTGCGTAGGCACCTACCGCAGAAGACCAGCAGGCCCTTACGCAAGTTCGGCTTGAAGTTTGGACCGGTTCATCTGATATACAGCATATGTGTTTTTTCCCCCGAACCACACAAGAAGATGTTGACTTAGCCGCTCAGTCAGAGATCATCCGGATAGCATATGACAGGCATATGCTTGGCAGCTGAGCAGAACGGCTGCAGAAAGAGGTGCGAATGCGGTGTTCATAGATGGATGTTTTGGAACATCCTGGAATTGGGAGGAGTGGATTTACTCGTCAAAAGTCAATGCAATGATATTATGATACAAACATGTGTGTATATAACCTGGTTGAGATACGCATGAACAGCACTCGCCCTTGATCATCTTGATCTGCCCCCTTGGACCCGCCCCGCCACATTAGCCAAAGCTTGGCTCTTCTCTGCGATGCCTGAGCCACGGCAACTTCGCTTGGGTGGTTCTAACTTCAGCGGCTGGTGGCCATACCAGGCTGCCACAGGTCAAGTAGGCCCCTCCAAAACACACACAAACCCATACGTCAAATCAAAACCCTCAATGCGTGCGGTGCTTAGCCCAAGTTGTCGTGCAGGATAGTCTAAATGATGCCATGTTGAACCCATGTTGTGCAGAATAGACTAAATGCGGGCTATCTAGCAGGCACCTAAAGACTATTGTAAGATAGTAAGGTTGACGAGTGAGATCATAAACAACAAGTTTTGTCACTCCAGGGTTTCTAGTTGGGTAAATCGGAAAAAAAATGGGGACACCCTTCCCGATCAAATTCTTGTCAAAAATACTGGAAGCACAAGCTGCATGGGAGTTGAACAGAGCTCTGAAGCTCTGAAAACTAAGAGCAAGTAGCGATGCACTTGCTACTAGTACTTACTAGTAGTAATGCCCTTGTTACTAGTAGCGATGCACTTGCTAC